TATTGCCGTGGCAAAACACTGTGCCCAGGACAACCTAGAAACAGTTTTTCGGAGGCTTACCTTTCAGAGGAAGAGTCCAGGACCATCATATGTGACTCATTTGAGCAGCAGGGATAGTGTAAAGCCATGACCAGATGAGGTAAAAACCATGGCCTAGGGCTGGTCCCGTGTGTGAACCTCTACCATGAATACAAAATGAGTCTGAAATCAAAGGCAACGTAAGGTTTAATAAACTTTAGGCCTTTTCTGGAGTGAGGTACGAACTCCCTAAACTTTGTGTTCTTCACTCCCCGGATCCGTCCTGCTGTTCCCAGACCGTTTACTGGGTCAGCAGAATGAGTTTTACAAAGACTCTCCAACCCTGGGTTGGACCTGACAGATTTGGCCAGTACTTAGTATTTTAAGATCCAGAGTTAGCCCCGCCCTCTCCCCGCCCCTCTCTGGGGTTCTAGCGCGAGGACCCCGGGAAGTTGTCCGTGGCTGAGCCTGATTCAATTTCCTTTTTCTTCCTTGTGGACAATTTCTCTACCCTCGTGTGCGCTGAATGGTGACCCTCGAGTCTCAGCACCCCGCGTTGTGCCTAAGACGAACTTCTGACGAGGCGCGGTCCCGGCCGGTCCCGGCAGGCAGTGGGGAAGGCGGTCCAAGAGCCAGGCAGCGTTGCTGCTCCGGCTCCAGCATGGCGGCGGCCGTACGAGTTGCCGGCTGTTTCCCTGCACTGTGTAGCATACCGGCAGGTGAGTGCTGGGACCCAGACTGTAAGCACGTGCGAGCAGGGTGCTTTCTCTCGGGTCTGCGAAGTTAGGGACGCGAGATGTTGTTGGCTCCCGATCCTTCTCCCTCATTCGGATCGTTCAGGCTGTGTGACCTTGCGCGCCTTCTGCCCCTCTCTGGGTCGCAGGGCTTGAGATTATAGGAAACAACCTGCACTCTGCTTTCAGCCAGGAAAACCGCTCTGGCCGAGTCGGTGATAAGGAACAGAAGTAGCAAGCATCACCTGTGGTGCAGAGGGTGATGTCAATTCTGGCTTTGAGGCTGAGTGCCGCCCGCGGAGCTCCTAACTAAAGGGTCGTTTATTCCTGAATCCATTAGGTTAGTTTTCAGTTTAGCATCTAGGCCGCTCCGTTTGCCAGAATGTACTTCGGCTGTCACTCTTTTCTTCCAGCCCTTCACAGTCCTGTGTGGTTCTCTAGCATAGTGTTGGACTGTAGAAATGGCTTCGTGCTCGACAGTGTGCAATTTTATCAAACCAGGTCCTGAAAGTTAAATTTGTTGCAATATTTGTCCAGGAATCACTTGGTGGGGTGTGTGGCGTGAGCCTTCGTTTGTTTTCCGACTTTGAAACCATCTTTTTGAGACCTCTGTTGAATAGTGGGCTGTAGCCTTCCAGTCATCCGTGTGCTAGAAACGATCTTAAGCTATTTATGATTTTATCCCTCCATTTCCTCCTCACAGTGCCTTAAAGATTACGTTATATCCTCATACCATCCCCACCGCTCCCTGCCGTATTGTTCTTGAGTCAAAGTCTCACTATGGTCTGCCAATTTATAAGCCTCCTGTCTCAGCTCCTCAAGGCTCGAGTCACAGTGGTTTACTCTCAGAGTCCGGCCTCGTTATTCTTGTTTTATAGAACAGGAAATTACAGCACACAGGGAACTTGCTTGGGAATTAAGACTTTTGCACCCATGATGCCTTGTTCCCATGATGCCTTGTTGCAAGTCCTCCATACCCTTTGTGTAAATTCTCTTTCCCTGGGCAGCTTTCTTAATTAAATCAGTACCATAAAACTAATCCATCTGAAGTGTACACTTTAGGAATTTTTTTTTCCCAGAAAACTACTTTTCATCTGTTGTGCCCGTCCCTTCCAATCTCCTAGTAGCCCTCGACACTAGGCAACTACTATCTGTCCATAGCTTGCCTGCTCTGGACACTTTTAATCGATAGATCCCAAACATATCTGGGTCTCTGTGATTGGCTTCTTCCGTAAATGCATCGTTGTCAGGATTTATCCATGCTGTGACACACGTTGTTGCTTGTGACCCAGTAATACGCTTGTGCCAACACACCACATTTTGCCTATATTCATTGGTTGGTAAACATTTGAGCTGTTTCCGTTCTTGGCTGTCAGGATTGACTGATTTTGAAATACCCGAGAGCTGTGTTTTTGTCTGTGCCCATATCCATCCTGTCTTGTGTATATTTCTTGGAGGTGGAATTGCTCGTTGAAGTGATAGTTCCATGTTTAGCTAAGGACCTACCGTGTAGCTGTACCATTTTACAGCCCCACCACAATATAGAGGTTCCAGTTTCTGTTTGCCAGCGCTTGTTATTATCTCTTCTATTCAGACAGCCAAGCTAATTGTGTACAGTGAGCTTGTTTTTGTGTGCTTATTAACCATTTGTGTATGATCTTGAAGAAATTTTTGTTCAAATATTTTGTCTCATATGTGTGCGTGTGCATGTGTATACACGTGTGTGTCCACATGTGCGGACATACTTGTCCATTTTTCAATTGGGTTTACTTTTTATTATTGAATTTAAAGACTTATTTGTATTTTCTAGGTACAGGTCTCTTGTCAGATATATAATATGCAAAAAAAATATTTTTTGAGATAGGCTCTCATTGTGTGTCCTGGCTAGCCTGGAATTCACTATGTAGACAAGGTTAGCACTGAATTCACAGAGGTCAGTCCCTCTCTGCTTCCAGACTGGATAAAAGATATGGTCCATGAAGAAGCTTTTCTTTCTTTCTTTCTTTTTTTTTTTTTTGAGACATGATTTCTCTGTATAGCCCCGACTGTTCTGGAACTTTGGAGACGAGGCTGACCTTGAATTTAAAGATCCACCTGCTTCTGCCTCCTGAATGCTTGGATTAAAAGTGTGCGCCACCACCTCCCCATTAAGATACATTTTTTTTAAATCTTATTTTTCATGTTAATTTTTAAGACTCCCCTCCTAAAGATCTCACTATGAATGTGGTCTAACCTGAGACTCATAGTCTTTTCCTGCCTTTGCTTCTCAAATGCTGGAATTATAGGTTTGTACCTCTATACCTGACATAGATAGTGTTGTTTGAAACACAAATTTTTGATTTTGAAAACTCAGGTCCTCATGCCTGGTAAACAAGTGCCGCCCTACTACGAAGCTGTTTCTAGCCATGAAAAACAGCACACCAGTTTGGAATTTTGATGGTCTCATTTATCTGGGGTTTTCCCTTCCCCGTTTTGGTAGTATGTACTTTCAGTGTTCTATCTAAGAAACCATTATCAAACCCAAGGTTTTGAACGTTCACCCCTATGTTCTCTTTTAAGATTTTTAGTTCTGATTATTACCTTTAAGCCTTTGGCCAATTTTGTGTTAGTTCCTATCTATAATACGAAGTAGCTTCAACTTCATTGGGTTGTTACTATCCCAATATCTCCATATATCAGTTTTCTCGCCAATACTGTCAGAGTCTATTCTAGAACACTAGATTGAGTGGAAGGTTGGTGGGCACCAGAGGGGCAGGAGCCTCTCCCTCATACCTGAAGGGAGTGTTTCTATTCTGAGGGATTTACTGTTTACCGTGTGCCCGTGAGCCTGGAGAAGTGAGCGTGTCAGAGCAGGGTCTGTTCCGAAGTACAGATCCGGTGATGTCAAAGGGAGGGCGTAGGAGAAGGGCAGTGTGGGACTGTAGCAGATGCCTGGGCCCTGTGGCCAGCCTGCAGGGTATGCCGAGGGATTGGTTTACTCAGTTTTTTGACACAGGGTCTCATGTAGCCTAAGCTGGTCTTGAACTTGCTATGGAGCCAAAGCTGACCAGATCCTCCCCTCTCCAGTGAATCCTGGGATCATAAGCACAAGCCATTGCTGCAGCTTGTGCTGAGGATTTTTGCTTTGTTTTTTAGAGCAGGAGGGAGCCAAGGAAGACTGTGTCAGGGCCGTGACTGCCTAGGTCTGGTGCGCTGGGAAGATGCCGAGTTAGAGAATTAGGGAAACCTGTTAGGAGACGGATTATCCTGTGGCCGAGTGACGAGGAGGCCTTAGCAAAGAAGGACCAGCAAGGAGAGCACAGGGCAGGTGACAGATGGCATTGCACTCAAGGAGATTTTGTAAGGCTCTGAAACTGGGTGGGTTCGAGGGTGAAGGGTGAAGATGAGGTGCCGTACTTGGTAAGTGGTCATGGAGTCCGGAGATGGCTTACTCTTTGTCTTAATCCTTTTATTCTGTAGGTGTTAATATTCTGTAGGCATTACTGTTTAGAATGTTCCTTTTCGTGTAGAAAGTATCTTTAAACAAATTTACCCTGCATCCCCATATACAGGTCACTTCCTGTCTAGGCAGCTCTCTCTAAACACCTTCTCAGCAGCAGCTTCCGTTCTGACAGTGAAGACCGCTCTCAGTCACGGTAAGAGTCTACTGTAGCTCTGTTCTTGTAGGACTTATTGCCTGTGGAGTAGTTTTGTGGCGGGGGTTTTGGGTGAGGTTGGCCGTTTAGGGGTACAACTGAAGCTTTCCTATCTAGTCCTACACGCTTCAGCTTTTGTCCCAAGAGCAACCGCAGTTGCGGTTTCTTGTGTGTGCCTCTGGAGTGTGTGCGGTGCATCCACAGACACACGAAACAGGACACTCAGCATGCTCTGGTGGTTTGCTCTGTGGGACATTTGCAGATCATTGCCCACTCCCTGGCTGCACACGGCAGAGGCAGTGTTTCCCCACAGTAGGCTCTGCATTGGCTACTGCAGAGAAATGGCACACTAGCTGTGTGGAGGAGCGTCAACTCCCGTGGAGGAAGAGTCATAGGTGGTTGGCAGGCATGAGAAATTGGTGCTAGGAACCAAACCTGGGTTCTTTTCCAGAGCAGAGCATGCTCTTTAAGTGCTAAGCCATTTCTCCAGCCCCAAAACATGATTTACAAAATTTTAGTGGATTTGAACACTTTTAGAAATTGTGTGTGAGCATGCGTGCATTTGAACACTCTCATTCTACTGTACGTGTGGAACTCAGAGGACAGTTTGTAGGAGTTGGCTCTCTCCTTCTGCCACTTGTGTCCTGAGAACAAATTCAGGTTGTCAGCCTGGCAGCAAGTGCCTTTGACTGCCGAACCCTCTCGGCAGTCTTGATGACCTCTTATTCTGAGTATGATTATTTGGAGCTGGCAGTGTTTCTCTGCAGCCGTGGATCTAACCACAGTTTTGTTCTATCTGCCTGTAGGCGCCTTGTCACCTAGGGGAGCAGAAACCAACCACTGTCTGGCCAGCTTGAGCCATGCGCTGCAGACACAGTGCTGTGTTTCCTCTCCCATCACCTGGACGGGCCAGCAGAGCAGGCCCTACAGCTTCTTCACCAAACGTACGTAGAATGATAGGCTTCTCCTTTTGTGGAACCAGAAAATAGAAGGCGTTTGTGCCTTAACTTTCCTTCTCTCATAAACAAATAAACATTTTAGTGACTACTTTATAATGTCCTTTCAAAATAAAAGCATTCCTTGGTGTGTCCACTAGAATTACCTACAGCTTATCAGTGGTACAATTGATAACAAATTTATTTGAAGGCTAGGGATGCAGCTTAGCAGTAGAACATTGGTCTAGCAGATGTAAGGTCCTTCATTTGGGTCACCTGAGGTCTAAAAGTATTGAATCATAGCCAAACACCCTGCTGATTTAGAGCCACGTCAAGGGGGACAATGCATTGGTGCCCTTTTGTGTGGCACCTTGTAGGCGGTCGACTATGTCGAGATGAAGCTGGCTGTCTCCTTCCTTATTAATGGCTGTCAGAACCTCGCTGAAGCAGATGACGACTGCCAAGTTTCATGCTTTCTCTGAGAAGCTTCTGGCCACAGAAGTAGCTGCCAATGCTCTGGGCGAAGAGTGGAAGAGTTATATGGTCCGAATCAGTGGTGGGAACGACAAACAAGGTTTTCCCATGAAGCAAGGTGTCCTGGCCCACAGCACAGTGTGCCTGCATTGAGCAAGGGACATTCTTGTTCTAGACCAAGAAGAGCTGGAGAGAGGAAGTGCAAGTGTGTTCGAGGATGTATTGTGGATGCCAATCTGAGTGATTTAAGCTTGGTTATTGTTAAAAAAGAAGAGAAGGGAATTCCTGGACTGACAGAAACTCCTCTGCCTTGGCAGTTGGGACTCAGAAGAGCTCACAGGAAGTGAAAGGAGTCCCCAGTATGTTGTCAGAAAACTTACAAAGAAGGTAAGAAGTCCAGGACCAAAGCTCCCCAGATTGAACATCTTGTTACTCTGCATGTCCTGCAATGCAAATGCCAACACGCTGCTCTGAAGAAACAGCACACAAGGAAAAATGAGGAGGAGACTGCAAAATATGCTAAACTTTTGACCAAGAGAATGAAGGGAGCCAAAGAAAAATACCCCAGAGTGTCGGGAGATGTAGCCTGTCCTCACTGAGAGCTTCTGCTTCTGAGTCCTGTCAAAATGAGTAACAAGTAAATGATCAGACTTTTAGTCCCAAAACAAAACAAAACAAAAACCCCCCAACCCATTGGCTCCTTTTAGTTGTGCCTTTAGCTGAGGAGAGAGATGAATCAGAGAAAGGTAATTTTTAATAACATTATTTTATGGATAGTGCTCCTATTTGTGATATCACTGGAACTCACCTAGAAGGCTAGGCTGGCCAGCAGGCCCCAGGGAGCCACCTGCTCTCCAGTGTTGGGATTACAAGGACATGCTACTGTGGCTGGCTGTTTTTACATGGATTCTGGGCTCAGATTCACGAGCTCCTGCTTGCAAGGCAAGCACTTCACCTACTGAGCCAGCTTCCCAGCCCGGGCTTCAATTTTTATTATTTAAGTTCATAATGGAATAAAATCTAGTTACAGAATAGTTGGTGAACTTGGAAAGGTGAAATTTAAATACCAATAAAATGCAGTAAGGATGAACCTAAAGAATTTAGGCATTTACAAGAACAAAGTATTGGTTAGGTGCAGGATAGAAACAGATATTGGGACCTTAGAAACTGACTAATAAAATAAATCAGCAGAGCTAGAGTGTGCATGTGTTAAAAGACTTATGTGACTTACAATAGTCAAGTACAAACACACGCATGGGGATTAGCTATGAAACACTGGAATATCTGATCTCTTGTATGCGGTTTGAAAGAAGTGGGTGCTGGGTGGTGGCAGAAGAGTAGAGCAAACCACCTAAATGGGGTGTAGATTCTTGTGTATAAGAAAGTGCCCTAGTTAGCTTTACTTGTCAAGTTGACACAGCCCAGGGTCAACTGGGAGGAAAGCCTCAAAGTCAGGTGGGCCTGTGGACAGGTCTGTGGGGAACTGTCTTGATTGTTAACTGATGTAAGGGCCCCCTGCTGGGAGGCACCAGCCCTAGGTAGGTCGTTCTGGACTAAGTCAGAAAGCAAACTGAGCACAAGCCTGCCGTCCAGCTCGCCATCCAGCAGCATTCCTCAATGGTTTCTGGTTCAAGTTCTTGCTTAGGTCCGTGCCTGACTTCCCTCAGTGGACTTGTGAGCCGCACAGTGGTGCTCCTCTCCTAAGCTGCTCTTGGTCAGAGTGGCTTATCAGCAGTGGAGATGAAACTAGGAAGAGATGACTCCAGTGATTGTTGTGGGGGCAAGAGAACAGGGAAGCAGCCCAAGTCGTAGCTGATCAAGCATCAGGCAAACAAGCCTGTTGGTAAGGGACTCAAGTGTCGCTGTCTTTTGTGAGAATAATAGCAATGTCTCTCCTCTTGGGCTTTCCAAATGTAACTGTGTGGTACCCAAAGAGCGGCTTTGTTGTCTTTCTAGTGTCACTGCAAGGGTGTCTGTGAAGTGACTTCTGGCCTTTTTCATTTAACAGGAGGCCACAGATCATTGCTTGTTGATGCAGCATTTAAAACAGCAAACCCTGTCTCATTGCAGTGACCGCAGATGAACTCTGGAAGGGCGCCTTAGCAGAGACTGGCGCCGGAGCAAGAAAAGGCAGAGGCAAAAGAACAAAGAGGAAGAGGAAAAAGGATTTGAACAGGGGCCAGATCATCGGGGAAGGTAAACTTACATTTAAAACTTCTGATCTCCTGTTTTGTGTATCCCAGGCTGGCCTTGAACTCCTGCCTTAGCCTCCCTGGAACTAGGATTATAGGCATGTGCCAGAGCTCCCAGCTGATGTGCTGGTCACACGTATATCTTGTCAGTTAAAAAATGAGAAGCAAGGATCTGTAGTCCTGTTGCCTCCTCCGCCTCATTTGGTTAAATTTCCTTTAATATTTTTAATGCTTTTATATAAATGCCTTTCTAAAGATAATTTAATTATGCTATATGTTGTGTGCATTGTGATGGTGAGTTAATTGTCCCCTTGGTGTACTCTGGGAAGAGTCTCAGTGAGGGTTATCTAGGTCAAGTTGACCTGTGGGCATGTTTGTGGGGTGCTGTCTTGATTCTGTCAGTCAGTGTGGAAGACCCAGTCTAAAAGCAGGGGGTTCGGGTCTTGGACTTATCAAAAAAGAGAAAGTGAGCCGAGTGAGTACTGTGTGTGCATTCCTTCTCTCTGTCTGCTCTTGATACAACTAGCTGCCTCCTTGACTGTCTGCAGTGATGAATGGGGACCTGCAATTGGGAGTTAAACCCTCTTCTACGTTGCTTTTGTCAGAGGATCTTCTCATAGTAGAAAAGGAAACTAGGATGTGCTGTCTTACAATTTGCTTGTTCTGATCAGAAGTAGGTTTGGAACAGTCCACATCAGACCTTAGAAAGTGACTTTGTTCTTTGGATTTCCTGCAGAATATCCCACACCAACTGTGCTATTTGGCCTGAACACTTTGATTGTGAAGGTTTTGCTTTTGCAATAACGTTTCAGTGGCTGTGCTTGTCCAGGCCCACATGTGCCTTGTCCTGATACGCGAATCTTTCTCAGCGTAGTATGGATTGCAGTGGTTTAGTTACATACATGTACAATTTTGATAGCACAAAGTGGCCTCTGACCAGTCCTGCTACCAAGCGCTACCAGCTCCAGGTTATCTGTTCATACCGTGCCTGGCATTTTGATACTGGAAAAATGAACCTTCAAATTCTTATTTGTGAACATTTTTAAATCTTCAGGACGTTCTGGTTTCCTGTGGCCTGGTCTGAATGTCCCTCTTATGAAAAGTGGAGTGGTCCAGACCATTGGCCAAAGAAGCAAAGAAGAGCAGGAGAAGGTGGAGGCCGACATGACCCAGCAGAGAGAAGAGTGGGAACGGAGGAGGAAGGTCAAAATTAAACGGGAGCGCGGATGGAGTGGAAGCACATGGGGAGGTGTCAGTATTGGCCCCCCAGACCCGGGACCCAATGGAGGTAGCCACGTTTTTTTGTTTTGTTTTGTTTTGTTTTGTTTTGTTTTCTACTTGCCTATTGAGGTTTTGCTTTTTCCTGAAAAGGGTTTGAGTGTCTTTGAGTAACTTACCACATTTATCCAAACTGTATCATAGGGAACACAGCCAAGAGCGTGGCTAGAAATTCTCATCATAAGTTAAGCTCATTCAGTAGCCCTGTTAAACTCAGTGGTTTGTTTAAAAAAGGGAAACAAAAGACATGAAAATAGGAGAGAGATGTGTGGGAAGAAGGGTCTCAGGACGAGTGGGCGGGGAGAAGAGAGGAGGATGATTCTGATCAGAGTACATTGCACACATGTAAAATTGTCAACAAATAAAGGATTATTTTAGAAAGCTAAAGACGGTTATGACAAGTAAAGTGTCAGAGTACCACGTGACCAGGAGGCCTTGGTAGGACTAGAGGCCACGGGTGTTGAGTGGCTACATGCTGTGCCTTGACCAGTCCAGCCATGCCCAGTAGTCAGGTGTGGCCAGCGAGCTGCACTGACTCAGGGAAGGGAGTGTGGGAAGTGATGGCTTTGGTGTCTTAACGCAAATGGTGATCAAAGGTCTGGAGCTGACGGGGGCCCTTAGAGCTGATCAGGCAGAGCCCTGTGGATTGGCAGAGGGTGATCCAAGCTCATGAATTCAGAGACAGGGCCGTCTATTGAGAATGGGACCAGGATGTGACCTTGCGAGGGGTACCTGAGGACCTGAGACTTTTTATAGCTGTGTGGTAGGATGCTTGCCTAACCATCCTGGGTTCATTAATACCCCCACCAAAGAAAAATATCTGATGGTACCAAATCCTTCCCTGCGTTAATACTACAGAGTCCTTTATCTGTGTACTCTTTTCTTCTTCTTGTAGAAACATACGAAGACTTTGACACCAGGGTTCTCGAGGTAGGCACATGGACTTAAGTACCCTACCTTGCCTCTGAAGAGTTGGGATGTGGAGTGGGCCTAGGCAGAAGGGGCTAGGGGAAAGCTTTCGGTGGTGGAGTCTCAGACACAAGGCTGATCTGAATGTCTGGGCGAGGTAGTCTCGTGACAAGGTGACTTCGGTGGTGGTTTAGTAGTAGACTTGGAGCTTGTGTGTACTTCCCTCCATCCTAAAGCTCAAGAAGGGTTAGCAGTTTATCACTGAGCTAAAGACTAGCGTATCCAGTGCTCAGTTGCAGGGGCACAGGTGAGGGGAGCAGAGTCACTGGGAGAAGGCTGGGCAGTGAGCTCTTCCCAGCGCTTGAAACTGAATCCCTGATCAAATGAACTTCACTCACTTTTCCGGAGTGTTCTGAGATGGTCCTCGTCATTGGTCTGGCGCTGCACCTTAGCTCATTAGCTTGGGAGGCAGTCATCTGCGCTGGAGCCGCCCTGAGAATGCGCATAACGTCTTCCACCAGTCAGAGCACGGTGTAAAGGATGTCCATCAGAATTTCTGTTATCCAAGATTATAGATTTTGAAAGCTAATGTCTATTATGTTGATTATCCACAGAGTAGGTGCAACCTCCCTTTTCCTTTAATGCCACTTTATAGTAAAGGGGCGCCATGCACTCAGGTGTAGCTGAGTAGTGTAGATAACGGTTTCATAGTTCTTGACCTTTAAAATGGGCCAGGTTAAACCACCATAATATGGAGTTCACCATAAGCAGGCATTTCCAAGTTTTCTGTTTCCCATTAAGCCTAACCCATAATTATCCAGCAGCCTAGTCCTATGGAGTTATTTCACAGTGTGTAGGTAAGTGAGCATCTCTGTTCTGGGCTCTCTCTGATACTCACTGGTGAGCCATTCTGGTTTAATCCTGAGTGTTTTTCTTTTCCTGTGGCTCATTCTAAGGTAGGGCGTTTTGAGTTGTGAGAGCTTCAGATTTCTTTAAATATCTTAGCTGAATTTCCATTAAACCTGGGAGACAGGAGGAGAAAGTCTTCCGTTCTCTTCCTGAGGAGGTGGGGGGGGGGGCAGGCAGCTCTGTGAGCCTTTGTTTGGAGAAAGTCTGCTTGTCTCGCAGCACTGGAAGATGCAGTGCCCATATGTCATGAGTGAGTGTGACTGGGCCAGGCCAGCAGCACGACTCGTCTCCTTCAGAGTTTTCCCAAGGTCATATTGAGGAGACATTTTGTCTTTTAGGTAAGAAATGTTTTCAATATGACAGCAAAAGAGGGAAGAAAGAAGTCCGTCCGTGTGCTGGTTGCTGTGGGGAATGGAAATGGGGCTGCAGGTGAGGAGAAGTTGGGTGGCGGTGGTAGAAGCTGGGCTAGGCCTGAGAGTCCATGTTGCTGCTCTGATCTTTCTACTGGTTAAACCTTTTAGTGGTTTGGGCTCACAGACCCAAATTTTCACTGTGTAACAAAACCCAGTAAGTGTAGCCTGTTATATCTTTGCTAGTGTAGGCATGGGGACTGCTTGCAGGGAGGTTTCTTTTGTGGTAAGAAGAACTGCCAGATGGCCTCCCATCATACCCCTGCCCCCGTATGATCTCACTTCTGTGATTGACAGCATGATGTGTGCATTATATCTCTTAGTTTTTATTTGTATATCTTTCATAAGGTGTGTGGGCAAATTTTAGATGTTTATTGACCATGCCATTTTCTTTTTGAATTTTATCGGTTCATGTCTTTGACCTAATTTTTATAGGGTGGTCGTGGTTTTCCTAACTGATTAGCATAAGATTTTTATAAGTTGAAGACACATCAAGCCGTTGTCTTTCCGATGTTTTGACTTAGTTTTAATTCATTTCTGCACAGTGTTAAATCCAGAGACTTTGTAAGCTTTTGTATAGCAAATCTGTCACTTAGATCACTTCCAATTTTGTGCTTTGCTTAAAGAGTCTCTGTTTGAAGATAATAAATAAGTCCAGTCATATTTTCCTCTGGGATATCCATGGTCTTGTTTGTTTCATTTTTCTGAAAGTTAGAATTCACGTTTCTTTGTCCCAGGTCTCAGGTGTTTTGTGTGTCTCATGTCTTATAGATGATGCTTCCCTTTGTATGACTTAGCAAAATAAATCTTCATACTTAATAATTGGCAGTGGCAGTAGATGCCAGGGGCTTCCCCGGAATCTCTGAAAACCTTGTTTAGGATAATCACAGGCTGAAGGACCACTGATCTTGTCTCCGGCTAAATTAAAGCCCAGATTCTGCTTGGCTGTCCGCTGAGAGCCCTGCCGCTCTGCAGCGGCGTGTTTTCCTCCTCCGCTGAGAGCACTGTCGTTCTGCAGCGGTGTGTTTTCCTCCTGCTGCTTACTTTATTTTTTGAAAATGACTCTTTTTTTATTTTACTTTTTTTTTAAAAAAAGAAAACAAACTGCCTTTTCATTTTACATACCAATCCCAGTTTCCACTCTCTCCCCTCCTCCCATTCCTTCCACCCCACCACCACCACCACACTCCCCATCCACTCCTCAGAGAGGGTGAGGCACATTGCTTTGGGGAAGGTCCAAGGCCCTCCCTACTATATCCAGGCTGAGTAAGGCATCCAGACAAAGAGAATGGGTTCCCAAAAAGTCAGTACAAGAAGTAGGGATAAATCCGTGCCACTGCCAGTGGCCCCGCAGTCGGCCCCAGCCGTACAGATGTCATCCACATTCAGAGAGTCCAGTTTGGTCCTATGCTGGTTCCTTCCCTGTCCAGCTAGAGTTGGTAAGCTCCCATTAGCTCAGGTAGACTGTTTTAGTGAGTGTCCCCATCATGGTGCTGACCTCTTTGCTCACATTCTCACTCCTCCCACTCTTCAGCTGGACTCTGGGAGCTCAGCCCAGTGCTCCACTGCGGGTCTCTGCCTCTGCTGCCATCTGTTGTTGGATGAAGGTTCTATGGTGACATTTAAGATAGTCATCAATCTGACTACAGGGCAAGGCCAGTTCAGGCCCCCTCTCCTCTACTGCTTAGGGTTTTAACTGGGGTCATCCTTGTGGATTTCTGGGAATTTCCCCAGTGCCAGGTTTCTCGCTAGCCCCATAATGGCTCCCTCAATCACAGTATCTCTTTCCTTGCCCTCATCTCTGTCCTTCCTCCATCATAACTGTCCCATGACACAACGGCAGCATGTCTGAGTCCTGACGCTGCTTTCTTTAATCTGTTCCCAAAGGTGTTCAAAATCATTTGCCTATTAACTTAGAACATACTTAATTTTAAAACCTGAGTGAAGAAGCTGGACAGATAGCTCAGGGCTTAAGAGCATTTGCTGCTCTTTCAGAAGACTACAGTTCAGTTCCCAGTGCCCACATGTCAACTCCCAACCATTGATAATTCTAGTTCCAGGGGATCTGACACCTCATCTCATCTCCTTGGACTTCTGTATACATGTAGTACACAGACTTACACTCATATACATATAAATAAATAGCCCAGAGCCAGCCCAGCACTTGAGAGGAAGAAGCAGGCGGCTCTCTGAGTTAGAGGCCAGCCTTGTCCTCAGTGTGAGTTCTAGGATAGCCAGGGCTACACAGAGAAACCCTGTCTCAAAAATGCAAAATAAGTAAATAAATGAATAGCCCAAGGCCACTTCACTTCAATAAAGATTTATTAAAGGCAGTGCAGTACATCTAATGTTGAACTTCATGAGTGTACTCAAAATGGAAATGTCCAAACCAGACAGGCAAAGCCCTGTGCTGTGCTTGTTTGTTATGGGAGCAGTTTTTCTGCGGGTGATGGGAAGACGAAGGATTTGGAAACACTGTAGGAGCCAACATTGGGGATGTGGTAGAAAGCAAGTTGTGTGCAGACTGTTTCTACATCTCGCTTTTCCTTTGAAAGGTTTTGCTATTGGGAAAGCTGCTGACCGGGCAGATGCTTTCAGAAAGGTAAGAGCTCTCTCTCTGTTTGCGGCAGGGTCTGTGTGACTGTGGCTCTGGCCCTCCTACCTCTGCCTCCAGAGTATTAGCTGTTTTTCTTTTTTCATATTTAGGAAGAGATAAGGAACTATGTGTTAAAATAACCTGGAAGCCATAAGAAAATAACAATTTGTCCTAGAATTTTCTCACTGTCAAAGGTTGCTTATCTCGAGAGAAGCCGTTTCTCACATACCTCTTACAGACCTGTGGTTGCTGTCTGTGATGAGCCTGCCTTGGGGGCTTGTTACCAATAGGCTGCTCAGAGCAGCTCAGGAAGGTTCCTGAGTGGAACAGTGAGACTGTGCTTGTGGAGCTTTGCCTTTTGCTTTTCTTAAATACTAAAATTTTTGTATAGGTGGAAATGCTTGTAATAAAATATTTTTATAAAAGGTAGTTTTGAGCTCCAATAAGAAGCCAGACATGGTGGTATACCTCTGTAACCCCAGACATGGTGGTATACC